TAGAAAAAAGAGCGGGACATTCTCCCCCCCTCCTCCTCCTCCAACCACACAAAATTGTGCCAAACCACACGATTATACGGCAACTTTTCGCACATTTTGCCGTTGTAGCCGCCATCGTTGGGCAGTCCTATGTAATGTCAAAAGGCGATCACATCACCTCGCGCATCGCATGCTTTAACGTGGGAGTGAGGGCCAGTGAGGGCACCCGACAATCATTGCTCAAGGAGATGAAACGCGGGCACCTTCAATCCTCCGTCCCATGAAATACCCCAGGAGGCAGGGGGAGGGGTGAGTGAAAGAAGCTACGCCCCTCACAAGAACAGCGTAGTTTCGCACGAGCTATCTCTGCAATGGTAATGAGACGGCTCATATCCTTGCACGTGTTGTGTTTGCGTTGAAGTGATAGACTGCACGGAGGTCACTTTACTCGCAGCCGTGGCCGCGTTTCCGTACGCGGCCATTTTGTTTAGCGATGTCAGGTTTGATTCTAAAGGGTTAGCTGGTCACTTTATATACTTCGTGTAACATTCCGATTTGTTACTATCGCATTCAGTGCTCCGCCATTGAGGAGAAACTGATCATTTCTTTTTTTTTTTAAATGCGAGTTAGACTATCTGTTAGCTTTCGGCTTACTCCTTTTACGAGAGTGGTAGCACATAATTAGCAACTGATGAGAACGAATGTTGCTACACGTGCTTTATTTATTTACTTATTTGCTCCTTTTACCCTTTGGCTATTCTCGCTAGTGTACTTGTAATGCAAAAGTTATAGTAAGACTATACACTACAGCACTTTTTTGTTATAATTAGTTACATTGCACGGCTATAAAAGGGACGAAGATCGTCGCGATTTCTTTGTGCACTATGAGCAATATACTGCATTTAATCACAGTCAGGAATCGAGTATTTCAGGAAAATTTTGTAGACGAGTACTCCGCGTCCACCATTTTTATGAAAGCAGTATGCGGATCCTTCCAGCGTCGGTGTCGTCTTCAGGCAAGTAAGAAATCGGTGGAAATGTTATTAATATATACACATGCTGCCGCATGGTGCTACTAAGCAGTAAAAAGACTGCCACCATCAAGGTTGTAAGGCATGTGGTAACCCTTCGCTTGGTTTAGGAAACCGAAGTGGAACACGCCAAATATATAGGTTTGCTTACACACACACACACACACACACACACACACACACACACACACACACACACACACACACACACACACACACACACACACACACACACACACACACACACACACACACACACACACACACACACACACACACCACACACACACACACACACACACACACACACACACACAAACACACACACACACACACACACACACACAAAGAAAAAAAAACATGATATATGGATTGCCTTAGGTGGCTGTCAAGCGCTAACTGCTTCTCAATTACTGTTTACTTGTTTGTTGGTTCTGCGCAAAAAAGAACGATTGCCATTCATTAGGTTGAAAACATGACAGTCAAATGCGGCAGTATACAATCAGCCCACAATTCAAAGTTGGAGAAGTTTACCTCGACTGTGTCTGCACAAGGTTGACCACATCCTACAGTGCAAAGAAGCAGTGTAAGTTATATAAAAGCGTCTGTTAATAAGCCGACATAAGAACAGAGACAGAAAAGACGGCTTTGGCAGCGCAAGTTTAATAGGTCAGTACCCGTTTCTGCAGGCGCGCTTCATATGGGAGTGACCTTTGTTCCGTTCAATATATCGGCAGGCGCGATCAAATTGGGTGAGGTCTAGTATTGGCAAGCACCGGGCACGTATCTATAGTGAGCGTTAGAAATCTTGTAATCGCAGCGAAGTGAACGTGTTCAAGGTTACGAGCGCTACGCTGCCCTCTTAATGAGGGCGTTTCCCTGTCCTTTATTCACGCTGTGCCACTGCAATAAGTTTAATTTCCGTGCAGCGAACTGCTAACTCCGCGAGAGCTAGAGGATTTCGCGTAGTTGTATACGTATGTTACGGATTAATAGAACAGACGCGAAAGAAAAAAAGTTCCGGTGTAATCCGTTTCACTCTTGGCGTTACTGCGATTAGGATTCAAGCAGCGTACATTACTCCGTATAGACATCGGAACACCTGAAAAGGAACATTGTTAGGGTGAGTCGGTTCGTTGGAAAAGTAAGCAAAAGAGTTCAAGGAGATGGACACACATATGTGCGTCTTGCTTCCCTCGCGTTCCGTCTTTCTCGGCTGTTCTTCTTTCTTTAAATTGAACAACATTGATTTTCAATTTGTAGCAGTTTTTCTGAGTTTTCCATTGTTTTCAGGTTGGCTAACTACGTTATTGCTTGTTAGTACATGAGACGTACATCACCAAGCACATGAAAGTATACTATACACAGTCAAACCTGTAGCAGGATTTTTTTTCGGGGGAGGGGGGGGGGGTGCTTGCTGAAGACTTTGACTATCTTAGGAAATCACCTATTCTCATGACTTATTTTCATTAAAGCACACACCTCCATCA